CTCTCTCTCTCTCTCTCTCTCTCTCTCTCTCTCTCTCTCTCTCTCTGTCCGATACTAACCTGTAAAGGTGGCGCCTTGCTGCAGGTACATCGAAGACGAAGCTGGAGCTATGGCGCTGCAGGTGAGTCTCCCTGGCCAACCATCTCTCTCTCTCTCTCTAGCAGCGCCCAGCGCTGAAGACTACTGCTATCGCTACTACTCCTCCAGAGTGCCGCTGCAGAGTCTTTTTTTTTTTTTTTTTTTTCTTTTCTTGAGACTACCTCCTGCCCTCTGCACGTGAAGTGCCTGGAAACTGCCTGCAGCCTACAGGGCGGGTCAGCCTTATATAGTGCTGGCCCGTCCGGGAGGCTGCTCGTGCCTATGCCAAAACGTGCCAGACCCTGGGGTTGACGCTCCACAAAATAGGCCCTAATGGCCTGAGCTAAAACCCCGGTCTGGTGCCTGAGTTTCAGGGTAGGTCGATCCTGAAAATGGCCCGTCGTTTTCAGGCTGGAGGCCGAAACGACACAGGGCCTGTAGGCCCTTGTTTCAGGCCTTTAGGCTGAAACGAAACAGGCGCTACTCCTACGGACCCTTAGTCTGCCAAGTCGGGCTCTGCTGGGCTCGTGTGGTACGGAGTATGCCACACATGCATTTGCGTTCTACTTATTGTCATGCATTTGGACTGGCATGCTGCAAGCGTCTGTCCTGTTAAATGGAGATGGAGTATGTTGTGACTTATGGGTTGTGGTAGGCATAAGCCCTGTGAGAATGTCTGTATGCATCAGTGTAGGAGTGTAAGATTATACATTGTGCTTTGTGGTTTGAGGCTATAGATGTAGCAAAATCGTGAAGCGTCTATGTTCGGTTGTGCATTTGACCTCTGAAGGTGGAAAGTACGAATCCTTCCTTCCCTCCTGTGTGTATTTCCTGAAATCCTGAAATCTACTCCCACCTCAATTTCTTCTAGACTTATTACTGACCACGGGTCCCTCAAACCCATTGACCCCCCGGACTTAAAGCCCAAATCCTAGACCCTAAACCCTAAACCTCAGATACTGTGGACCCTCCAATTCCTTAACCCTGCCCCTCTGTTACCGGACACTTGACTGACTATTCATGATTGTTCTGGTCCCCATCACTCCATATGTCCTGCTTGTCCCATTGTGGAGGGGGGAGCACCCTGGCCGGCTTGTTAACGGTGGGGGGAGGGCGAGGAATAGGAGGAATAGGCAGAAACGGTGGTGGTTTAGTTGAAGGGGGAGGAAGGGGGGATAGTTTCCGGGTTTGAGAAGGGAGGGGGAGGGGGAAGGGGATGGAAATCTGATTGTGGATGTTATCAGGGAGTTGTGGGTGTTGTGGATTTTCAGGAATCAGGAATCAGTAAAAAGTTCGTAGGTCGGTAATGCACCGTGAAATGGTGTTGGGGCAGGAATTCCCATTGGCTCTCGGTTGCTAGCCATGGTTTCCAATGTAGGTTATAACTCCTATCCATAAGACAGAGCCTGGAATTCGGGTCCAGCCATGTGGTGGAGAAGTTTTTGACAAGTCGTGAGCATTTGACAGCCTCCATCTCTTGTTGCAGTCAGGTTTGCAGGCCTTTCCAGGCATTGTGTGTTTGGACTGTAATAAGGTGACTTCAAATTCTAAGTGAAGGAAATG